GCCCTTGTAGAAGTCTTAGTCTGTCGAATGATACACGAATTTTCCAAGATTCATCCACTTGTAATCATATATTCTGAATAAAAATCAACTGGAACTTCATTTCGAACTAAGTAAACTGTAAATCATGAATTTTCAGGGTGTGAACTGGTTTCTCAAATGTCAAAAATTCCCTTACACATCTCTCAGAGAAATAAAATAATCAAAAGACCAAATGAGATATGAGATGAATACACCTGTAAGCATTAGGAACTTATTTTTCACGCAAAATTGATGACTAACATTTCAAGTTAGGATGAGAAGTGGCATCATTTAGAGAAAAATCAGAAACCACCAAGTACTGGGTAGCTGTATCGTTTTAGTTCGGAACTGTTCAGTAGAACACAACCATCACTCCACCTTGCTGACTGACTGGTTTCGACGTAGAACTTTGCACAGATGTACAGCAGTTCGAGTTGCCACACTTCACTTCACACGCAAAGCAAGAGAAGAAAGTAAAAGGAAATGCAAAATAGATACAGTGAAGACAGATATGAGACAAAAGGAATAGTAATATCAAAGAACAATATAGTTTCATTGGAAATTATAAGTCATAAGGAGTAGATACATCTGCGCCAGCCATTGAGAACGATTTTGAGTCATATTACCAATTGTCTCCAGTCATTGGTTTTTACCATCCCAAGGACCCTAACCAGCTAAGCAGTCTGTCTACACATTCTTACGTGGCTTAAACTAACTGTTGTGGATTTTATTGACTGATGAAGCCGTGTTGTGGTTTGACAACCACTAGCTGAATCTTTTCCAGCCTGACCCTATGTCAGCTAACGTTGCCATCGGGGAAGGCGATGGCTAGGCTAGGCATCCGTAACACATGTTCTAACCATCTAAGTCGATATAACTTCACAGCCTCGTCGATTGATTTCCCATCCTTACCTAGCATCACCCCACCGATAGGGATTGAACCCAAAATCTTCAGGTGACGAGGTGAACTTGTTGATCATTTAGCCACTAGAAATAAATGATTTAAAGGAATATGCATTGGGATTGAACATATATACATATACATATGTATTCATTCCCTTTTGAATATTTTATACAAAAAGGAAATTGTTGTACCAGAAAACATTCCTTTTTCATAACCCATGTGATCCCAAAAAAAGGAATAATCAATAGATGGATATGAAGTGATTTTCATTTGGTTGGTTTCTGACCGGTACCAGATACTTTCTACTTTTCTCCCTCTCTCTCTCACACTCCATATGTTTTTGTTCCTGTTCTCTGTATTCTAATGCATGTATATATACATATATATCATATGAAATATACGTGTTTCGGTCAAACACGCACTGTGTAATTTGTAAAAAAATAATTCCGATTTTATGCCTTACTTAGAAGACAGAAATTTTTCCCTAGGCTATTTTGTATAAGAGATTTGGTGACCAAAAAAAAATAATAATAATCAAAAGATACCATTGAACATTGAATCGAGATCAATCACTTAGTCAACTGAGTGTTGTAATACCATTAGGAAATATTATTCACCTAATGACCGATGTGGAATGATGCAAATTTGATAGGCGAAGAGGCGAAAACCTAAGTTAACATTTTAAGTCAATGGCTGACTATAGGGGTAGAAATGTTTATTCCTCAAATCTGGGTTTAATTTTAAGCTGGGGATATAAAATAGCCTTATTGGACAAGTTGTTTAACCTTGGGCCAATTGCCAACCAATCAGAAGAATTTACTCTTCCCTGAACTAGCCAACTATTAATGTGGTTAAAAATTTATAAATAGGATGCGGTTTTTCTGTTAACAGAAAAGGTCCATGCCTAATTCTCTTATTTTCTGTTATTGCACTGGTAGATAGTACGACCTAATAGACTGCGAGATATACGAATTTTGGTGGGCTAACAAAACTATTCCAATAGTTGATCTCAATGACAACCACTATCATTACCACAGCAACAACAGTATCATCTGTACGCGAAGACAAAGAAGAATACCGACTGTGGACAAGAAAGCTTTCGCTGTCTCAAGTAATAGTTGTAGACATTTTAAAGAGATGCTGAATATGTAGAACACTAAATTCAAAAGATTTAGTAACTAATGAGAGTTCGACCATCATAAATAAAGGGAAATACAAAAAGCGCTGTGATTGAGCAATAACTGCAAAATATCGGTGTTTGGAAGTTGTAGGCAAAGATCAAGCAAAATTAGAGGCATATAAAACATGTCCACAATTCTCATATGACCATGAAAGTAGTCTTAAATCATTATAAAGTTATTCATTTATTTTCAAGAATCAATTTGTAAGGGTTTGATATGTTTCAAGGTTTTTACCACGGATTGATTTCACGTGAAGGACCGTTGAAAACCACGGAATTCTGGTTGGCTGTTTCGTCCCATTTTGAGACTCATCGGTAGTGATCAAGACAAATACTCGCCGACCACATTGGCTGGTGATTAGGCTAAAATCATGAATTGGTAGAAGTTATAATTCATGAGCCATCGGTCTACAAGCTTACCTTGTAACCGGAAGGTCTTAAGGTTCGGATCCCAGTGGTTGCTTACTTTCTATGAGTCCCAAACTAGGACAAAACAGCTGGCTATCCAGTCTTCCAATGGTTCTTAATTGATATCAATCTGTGGTCAAACTTATTAATTCATAGTAAATAGGTTCCCTAATCTATTTATGTCTGTTAAACATCAAAATTGTACTTTTAGTCCACCTGATTTCAGATAGAATTCTTGTGGTAGAATTTTTTAAAGACTAAGATAGTTTAGAATGCTGGCTAACCACACTTCACGTGGTTCGGTTTCGGTTCCCCTACCGACAGACACCTAGAGATTGCTTAGCTGGTAGTAAGGCGTGAGGCTGACAATCCTAATTTGTAAAATAAAGCGTAGCCATTGCTACTTAAATTTCAAAGCCCAAACTTGAAATTCATATGTGTTCTTCTTGAAACTCGAAGGATTTATAAAACGATAGTTTAAGTTAATTTTAAAGATTCAGATATTTTTATTTTTATCCCCAGTAGAGTTTCATATAAGACACAGATTGTCACCAGTTGGTGAGAAATAATAAGTAAGGAGTGGAGAGTTGCTTTTTTGTTTCTTTTGGTTGGAGGATTTCATCATAAACTGATACTAGTTAGAGAACTATTGGAAAACCTGCGGGGAATACTTGACAGCTGTTTCGTCTTAGTCTGAGGCTCTTTAGCAGTACGCACCCACCAATGCTTTTTTTTCTGACAGTTTATTGTTATTTATTTTCGAGGTATGAATCTGCGCTTTTATATTGTCTACAGCTAAGAATTTCTAGTCATTATGATTGAATACGTTAGCGAGAAACACTTAGACTGTACAAGGTTTACCTTCAATCTCTCTTGTTGATTAATTTATATTGATGCTAAATGCTCACATAGTCTCTTTTAGCAATGTCTATCGATTTCTAGTCCAGAGGCTCTAGTGACACCTTAGGACTAATATGATAGTGACTAGTAGTATGAATGATTTTGATTCAATAATGAACAATCAAAGAGAGATTCAAAGAAATAACTTCAACAGATAACAAGTTATGCTCATCGTACACAAGGTGTCTCTCCTGACCCATTAAGTAAACTTAGTAAATAACGCTATGGTATTTGAAACAATAGCTAACAGGTTGTAGACTCACTGAGAAGGCTATCATTCATTGATGATAGAACAAGTAGATCCTTCTTTCTTTTCCCAAATGGAATCGAAATAGGAAATGATGAGTGAGGCTTCCGTGAGTGAAATGGAAGAGATCGTTCAAAGAAGAGATCAGAGAATATAGGCAATCATGGGACTGGCCAAAAAGAGGCCGCAGAAAATAGGATAAAATACAGACACCCTGTTAAATTGCTGTATCCTACTCGGAACGCAAAAGAACAATACTAGTAGTAATATATATAACATTATAAAAGAGTTACAAATACGTACAAGTGTGACAACAAAACTTACTCCAGTCGAGATAATTCAATAATTCATACAAATAATCAACTGAATTTATCCGATTACATTAATTATGTCAGTTTGAATAAACAGAGTGCAAATGTATCCCCACTTATCTTGGGTAAACACTTCATTAACTCCTTGTGTAATATCCATGAAGTTTATCACATTCTCAGTTTTGTTATCTAATATTAATCCTTTAGAAGATGAAAAAAAAGCATAATAAACTGTTTTACCACAGATTTACACCTGTTTTGCTTTCTGAATAATTCTCATGGTTATGGCTAGTAAGAAGGGTATTAACAGATCCCCTCAAACGTCCCCGCCCGCCATTCACGCTTTTTTACTGACCAAAAGGTTTATGCATATAAGAAATGGTAGGAGACCAAGGGGAATGATGAAATATTAAAATATAGTTTAAAAATGATCAATTTTGAAACTAAAGTTTAATGACATCAATCTCCAAACTGATCACAGAATCTTTTTTTTTTATTTTTACTCTTTTTTATTTTTAATTTCCAGCTTGATTCCACAAGTATGGAATTTTCAGCATGCGATATCGGTAGCCCTAATTTCGCTGGCCGACCATAGATATCTGGTGTGCGTTGGCAGGGGATCGAACCTCGGACCATGTGTATAGTCGGCGAGAGTCCTAACCACTGTGCCACTGATATGGGTTTAGAGATGTGAAGTAATTCGATAATTCATGAAATAGAGTAGTAAATAAACCACATTCTGATGGATAAAACATTAGGTGGTTAGCCTAGTGATTCAACCAGGCCGCCAGAACAAAGTGTAAAAAGTCTATAGAAATACTAAACTTCGGTGTTATTTGATTTTAACATATTATAACATGCTTCTACTATCCCATCAGCTCTTATGCCTTTAATATTGTTTTCTTCTCTTTTCATTCACATATTTGCCTTCTGTTCAAAAAATAAACTTTTACCAACACAATAATCTGGACGTGTTCATTTACAATAATAATAATAATAATCCACACAATTCATAATGGACAACCAAAATAGTCAGCTAAACAATATATGGAAACACATGGGACTGGAATGGGTAAGCCGTTTATATATACATATATATATTATTGATTATGCAAATTAGATTTTTTTTAAAATTATTATCATTAACATTATTAATCTGGAAAATACGATATTTATAAAAAATTTTAAAACAACTGTGAGCGGGAAATTTGTTTTTTGTGCTTGAATACAAGTTTCCCTGATGAATTAACTAAGTAATCAATTAAATAATTAAGTAACTGATTGACTGATGAATTGATCAATCGATCAACTGTCTGATGATTGATTAACAAACTATGTGAATGAATGAATGAATTAACGGATGGATGAATCGACGAAGAGTGAATAAATTAACGAAGATTGAAGGATTTTGACGTCTCCCATTTCGCTTAGCCGAGGACACCTATTTAACGATAAGTCAGATTTTGAGGACATAGTGACTGACTGACTCACTGACACAAAAGGCGCTTGGCTGGCACTCGTCAACTCAAACCTCCTCTAGTTTAGACGGTATAGCCAGCTATCTAAAATAGGATATGTGCACTATGCAGTAGTTCCGTCTATCCTCCTTTATGTGGCTGTGAGAAATAGCCATAGAAATTTGAAGATATGAAAGGGTTAACTATCAATCACGACAGTTGACTGCGTTCTATTCCCTTTGTTAAGTGGAATGATATGGTGAGCAATATTGAGGTTAGACGTATCGTGTTGGGTAGCGGTAGCAAGTCAATCAATGAAGTTGTGAGGTCGCATTAACTGAGATAGTTAGGATACGTGGTATGTATGCTGTGTCACAGCACTCATCGTCAAGAAACGTTAGCTTACATAGGACTGAGCTGGAGAAGAGTTAGTAGTAGTAGTAGTCAAATAGAAATCGGCTATCGATCCATGAAGTCTTTGTCAGTTGGTTTAAGCTAGTCAAGTAGGAAGCTTCATATCATTTTGTTGGGGTGTGTGGGATGCTTAGACTAGACGAATTGATGATATAGTTCAAAATCGTTCTCAGTAGCGCAGATCCGTTAAGTTCTCCCGTTTTCCCAAAGTCACTATTCTTTTCCCATACATTTCTGTTTAGATATATATATATCCCTTTCTGAAGAGGAAAACAACACCTCTTAAGGTATTGCGTAAAGCAAAAATATCACATGTAAGCGTAAACGTAAAATATATAAAACAGAAATTCCCTATCACCAATTATCGGCGACCTCCATCTCTACAAGAGTTACGTCGATGATACTTTCATTATTTGTGATGAGAATTGTGATCTTAAAAAATCTACTTCAAATCTTCAATAACGCCCATCCAAACATCGACTTCACCCTGGAAGTTGAGTCTAACTCAGTGTTTCATTTCCTCGACGTTCGACTACGAAGAAATGCAGAAAACTCGCTAAGAAGATCCATCTACAGAAAGCCCTAATGGAAAGGAAAGTTTATTAACTTTCAAAGCTGTGTGCCTGTAAGCAGAAAGAGAAACCGAATATACTGCTCTCTTTCCTCGAGGATCCGGAAGATTTGCACTGAAGGGTTAATCGATGTAGAATTACAAAATCTTCCAGGAACCATGATAGGTAGGGAATTCCCACCCAGATTCATAGACAAGAATGTGGAACCAGGGGAAACACCTGAAAAGGTTCAGGTTGCCCCCAAAATGATGCTGAAATTGAAACTCGAATTTAAAAGTAATATCGAAGGAGAAGTTCTCCGCAGACGGCTTTCGAAGTCTCTCAGTAAAACATACTTCGCTGGCAGCCTACGAACAATATTCTCCTGCAATAAACTACTCACCCAACGTGTGAAAGACAAGCTGTCGCATTGGGCCACTTGAACATGCATAAACCTCTTTACTTGCTCGTATGGAGCTGAGTACATTGGCCGTACCACGCGTCTGCTTGTAAAACGCGCGCAGGAACACCGTCCAGCATGGCTAGCAAAGAAGAGAACGCAAAGAGGTACACAGTCTGATAACAGAGCACCTGGTAAATCCTGGACATTCAGCTCCGTTTGAAAATTCCTGAATCACTAAAATTGAATTCTACTGGGAAATTTTTACTGGTGGTTTCCATGGAGTCGGATTCGATGACACATACTCACCGATGACATTAGCTATAGAATTTCGTCACACTGGCTGAATAATATCTTGATAGCCTCCAATACCAAAAGCCCTGAATTCTAACTCGTCAGACGAGGTGATGAATGCATACTACTAAAGAGTTCTAAAGTAAAGTATCTAAAATGCCTGAATAAGAGTTCGACTCATAAGAATCTTGAATTTGGATTTTATAGTATGATCTGAACACCTTGATTATTATTTTTGTTAATAATAGAGTGAAAAAAGATCTAACAATGATAATGTTAAATGACATATCCTCGTAAATATGAAATAAACTCGGATGAATGTAAGAAATAAATCGGTTTAGGCGTAAATAACATCACAAATCGATAGTTATGAAGAGCATTAATCATTAGACAAATGAATTTGCTAAATTATTCAGTTTGATTTCAAATTTGAACAAATTTGTTTGTCAATGGATTTTTCCTCTCATCATTACATGTTAGGAAGTTATAGTCAGAATTCCAAATTAAACATTAGAGAGACTAGAATAGAAAGAAATAAAATTTATTTCGCCTGTTTCTATGCTCCGGTGTTTCAGCAGTAGAACTCTTGCCAACCACGCACGTGGTCCGAGGTTCGATCCTCAGCTGACTCACTCCAAAACCTATCCAAGCCGGTAGTAAGTCTGTTAAAGAGGAAAGGTTGGGCGTGAAGCTAGCAACCCCACCCCGATCGGCTCCTTACAGAGTTCTAGTGAGTTGTAAGCAGGTTGGGTTCACCAGTTCAGAAAAGAAATTAGTTACTCGCCTAAAAAACTGGTTGGCGGTCATGCAACATATTACGAATTGGTAGAAATTTGAATTCATAGACCATTGGATTGGTCTTCAGAAGTTGAATAGTCTACTATGCAACTGAAAGGTCGTCTGGTTCAAATCCTGGTGGATTCGTGCTTTGAAGAGTCCCAATTTTGAACGAAGCAGCCATTCAGTCCTAACTGGTTTTCCAGTGATTCTCTGTAACTCAAGTCAGCACATGATCAAAGACTTTAACCAATCAAATCCCTGCAAACCAACACCTGATAAGTGCAATTGACAAAAACGCAGTCGAGCAGAAAATTAGTCGATTTCTCTAAAAATGAATTTCACTGGTAAAAATACAATGAAGAGAGTGAACGGAAAAATTAGAAAGGCTGAGTTTGAGAACTACAACAGCAATATGTATGTATATTTGTAGTGATAACCTTTTAGAATAAAAACCTAGGACTTTGGGTGTTTTGAGTTCGTCGTATAATTCATCAGTTCAGCGTCAAATTAGACTTGGTGCTCAGCTCAGTAGTAATATTTCAGAAATATAAATAAGTTAGAAGACGGTTGCAGCGAAGAAAATTTTCCTCTTTTCAACGAAATCATCAACTAGGTAGCAGTTATACATTCGTGTATTTATTGTAAATGGGTGAGAAAGTTCAGGAATTATTTCCGGTCAAAGGTCAAATTAGTGCAATAATTAGGAAGATCGGGTAGAAAATACATAATAAGATTATAATTACTGGAAAACTTGTCAGTTTGTACAAATCATGGATTAAGGATGTAGCATTAACAAAATGGGTAGGAAGTTCGGACATATAAAAATAAATTTAAAAAATTAGCAACCGAATCTAATGATGCGGAAAAGAATTAAAAAAGAAAAAATAACAGAAATAAACGGAACCATCGTGAAAAGTCAATCCCACGAATAATGATCATCCAATTACTTTTCTTATTCAACCTTCCTGTTTATTTCTGTTATTTTTTTCGTTTTCAATTCATTTCCGTATCATTAGATTCGGTTGCTAATTTTTTAAATTTAGTTTTTTATGTCCGAACTTCCTAATCATTTTGTTAATGCTACATCCTTAATCCCTGATTTGTACAAACTGACAAGTTTTCCAGTAATTATAATCTTATTATGTCTTTTCTACCCGATCTTCCTGATTATTGCACTTTGTAATTTTACTAATTTGACCTTTGACCGGAAATAATTCCTGAACTTTCTCACCCATTTACAATAAATACACGAATGTATAGCCGCTAGCTAGTTGATGACTTCATCGAACAGAAGAAAGTTTTCTTCGCTGCAAACATCTTCTCAATAATACCTAAGACCTAGTGTGTATATTCTGTAAAATAAGGAGGAACTGACGGGCAATATGTGGAACATAATGTGTCTTAGGGTAATATAAGTAGTTAGCTTATAAACAAAAACAAACGGATTACTCACTTCTTTGAGGTTTACTATGGGCGTGAGAACAAATACTCGCCGATGAGATTCGCTGATGGTCACACTAAAATGACCCAATCACTACAGATACTTCGAAGCATAGCAAAAATATGAAACATTTTCTGAACATAAGGGAATAATAGTAATATTTCCAAAATTGGGAATTTTAATCGCCTTCCACGACAATCACCATCAAGGGGGATTGAAAGAGGTTACTTCATTCACTTATCTAGGGAGCATTGTCTCAACTAAGAGGAGCGGATGAGGATGTCAAATCGAAATCGGAAGGCGAGAAAACATTCATCAGCCTGAAATCAATCTGGAAATCTTCGTCACTCAGCATCACCAACAAAATTCGGATTTTCAATACAAACGTAAAGTCAGTTCTTCTATCGGATCAGAAACTTGGGGGTCACAAAGTAATTTCCAAAAGGCTGCAGACCTTTATTAACAACTGTCTTCGCTCTATACTGAAGATCAGATGGCCGGAAAGAACCACCAAAAAGGAATTATGGGAACAAACAAACAAGAACCAATCGCCCAACAAATATGCAGGAGAAAGTGGAGATGGATCGGACACTCGCTGAGGAGACCGCTGGGTGACATCGCGCGTCAAGCCCTCGAGTGGAACCCGAAAGGGAAGCGGCGTGTGGGACGTCAAAGGGTGACATGGAGGAGATCGTGTGAAGAGGTTGAAAGAAGATGGATTAACATGGATGCAGGCGAAAGTATTGCAGAAGACAGAAGAAAATGGAGACGTGCAGTTTAAGCCTATGTTCCACTAGGAACCCAAGAGAGCAATAATAATCATTGGAGACTGTTATTGAATTGTCCTATTTCTTCTTGTATTCTTAGTTGTTTAATGCTTAGCCATTGTTACTTGTCCTTATATGCATTATTTCAATCTCCAGAAATGTAATCTTAAATTTCTGTGCAACAAAGAATCTGTACTAATCTGTTTCGATTTTTTAAACATCATTTGTCATCATTGATTTTTATAGGTGAATCAGAAACCTATGCTATACTATTTCAACACACACCATGTTATGATTTAGTGCCTGACAGTGCTAAACTTCTTTTATTGGATAATCAATTAACTGTGAGTTATTTTCAATGTTGTATTATAATTTTATTATATATATTCTTGTTTCATCTTTAAAATGTCGAAACATATTATTATTTCCTTTAATTCCTAGAGGAACTTAGAGCTTCAGCTGCGCGTCTCCATTACCTTCGGTTTTCTGTCAACTTTTTCACCCCGCTCCAAGTCTGCCCACATGCTTTCATCTCCTCCTCACATGACCTGCTCCAAGTCACCCTTTGACGACCAACTCACCGCTTCCCTTTTCGGTTCCACTAGAGCAGTGGCTTGTCTAGTGATGTCACTTGATGGTTTCTCTTCTCAGCGTATGGCCAATCCATCTCCATTTCTTCCCGCCTATTTGTTTCACAATCGGTTCCTGATTGGTTCGCTCCCAGAGATCGCTGTTGCTGATCTTTTCTGGCCATCTGATCTTGAGTAGTATTGAGCGAAGACAACTGTTAATGAAGGTCTGAAGTTTGTTTGAGATGCTCTTTATGACTCGCCAAGTCTCTGATCCGTATAGTAGCACTGACTTCACATTAGAGTTGAAAATCCGGATCTTATTTTTGATGGTGAGTGCTGTTGACCTCCACACAGACTTGAGAGTAATGAAAGCTTGTCTTGCATTTCTGATCCTTGCTTTGATATCCTCGTCAGTTCCACCTATAGTTGAAACTATGCTTCCTGAGTAGGTAGGTAAGGAAGGTTGTTTTTTTAAATTTCTCCCATTTATGCTGATTGTTGTTGCTGTTGGCCAGGAATCTTCGTCACCTCTGTTTTCTTTATGTTCACCTGAAGGAATTCCTAGTTTTGATGCTTCTTCTGCCAACTTGTTTCTTTTCGCTTGCATATCTTCCAGTTTGTGGGAAATCAGACACATATATCACATCGTCGAAGTCCAGATCCTCCAAGTTTTTCGTGAGGGTCCATTTCATGCCTGTTTCCTGTCTGCCCATTGTCTGTCGCATTATCCAATCTACTGAAATCAGGAAAATCATTGGAGATAGTAGGCAGCCAGTCAGCCAGCCTTGCCTCACTCCCGTCCTCACTTCGAAGGATTCCGTAAGTTTCCGGTTGTGGATTACCTGGCATGCAGCATTGTCGTATAACTGTTCGATGAGATGTATAGTTGTCGATGGCACCACGTAGTAGCGAAGTAGTTGCCAAATCACCTCTGGATGGACGCTGCGCTATCGAAGGACTTTTCAAAGTCGATGAAGTTGAGATAAAGAGGTGACTGCCATTTCAAGCTTCGTTCAACGATGATCGTAGTGTGGCGATTTGATCAATACATGACCTGTTTCTCTTCCGGTAGAAGTTTTTCATCCAGATTGGCTTGTTTGATTCTCTCCAGGATGATGTGGCTGGTCGAAAAATAACGCCACTTGAATCATTCAGCCTTATCTTGTAGATAATTTCATAATAGAAGCTTCCACCTAGACTTAATAGTCAGCAAGGCATAAATGCTACGCTGAAGGGAGTAGGATGTGAACCCGTGTCACCTAGTATTGTATTTGAAAGCTTTATCACTTTGTTGTTTCAACTTACGGTTGACTTTCTGTAATTAATGATCATTAGATAGCAGCCGATGTTGTGTCTGTTCCTTGATTCTGATGCTGATTTGACTAAGTTGTATTAATCCAGTTTTTAATGCAATCACGTAACGCCTGCCTCCCACCACGATTGTGTTTCATCTGATTTGTTGATCATATTGCAAACTTGACTGGTAGAATCGGATTCACTGCCGAACACTAAGGACTAGAAAAATGACACCAGGTTACTCCCTAGTGACTGAATGGTTGAATGAAACGAATTTTCTCGAAACTGTACATGTAAGTGACTTTTATTGTAGCTCCTTCTTGGCGTTAACTTTCACCTGCATTTGCACTTGACGGTGAGACTATTTTAATATAGTCTTGAATTTTCAAACCTTTTTGTAGATAACACATATGGTTATTGAAAGATAACAACCAGTGGCCTCTAGCTTACCAGTACGGTTCCCTACTAGCTTAACTACTAGACCCATGGATGAAATAATAATTTACTTTATTCCAAAACAGTGCTTCTCATACAACATGGAATTCCCAATATTCCAACTAATTTACTCAACAACAAAAAAATATTTGATTGGTTGGAGGATTTAATCTTGAACTGACATCAGTTAGAGAACTATTGGAAAACCTTCAGGAAGTACTGAACAGCCAGCTGTTTCGTCCTAGTTTGGGACTCTTTACGCACCCACCGCCATGGTCTAAACCCAAGATCTCCTGGTTACGAGGTGGGCTCGCAGACCACTAAGACATTTGGCCCCTCTCCAATGGCCCATGAATTCTAACTTCTGCAAATTCACGATATAGCGCGATCATTTCACAATGTCTTCTTCGATGAGTAACTGGCCTCATCTTCAGTCTGTTGTACCCTACTGGTCACGGTTCCTACTTTAATCCAAAGTCACTACTTAAATAGGGCTAGTCGCTAGTGAGCATTAGATAACTTTTCGAGTATTGGTTTTTTAGGAATTTTGTTTGATTGGTTGCAGGATTTCATCATGGTAGAAGTTGGAATTTCATACATTTATTCCCCTTAATGAATTTGGAAGTTTGAATTGATGGCCTGATCAATGGTCGGGTCCCAGTGACTACTAAATGGTTTACGAGCTCACTTGCCTTGTAAGTGGAAGGTTCTAGTCTCCAACCTTGATGGGCTGCATGCTGTGAAAAAGTTCGTCATGCTTAAAAAACGAAAATGGATTCATTCTATATAATATGTGGATAAATGTTCACATTCATACGTAAATTGTACATAAAAATGCAAACTACCTAAAACCTTACTTCGTCGCTAGCATAAAAGGTTTGACTTCATTCTTTTAAGAGAAATCCTTTGTTTGTTTCCTCTGATGTTTCTACGATATGATATGAATCTATGATATGAATCTTTTTTTTCTGTGAGATCAATAGGCGGTCAGACTGCTGACAGTGTGTTTAAGTGTATGTATGTGTGTGTGTATGTGTGAAATTTCCATACATAAATTAGATTTAAGACTAATTCAATCTACTGAGAAATTTTTCTCAAGATTGTTTTATTTTTGTTATAATTCTTATCAATATTTACATATATTTTATTTATGATAGAAACAGTTATACTCACACACACACACACACACCAGTGTTGTTTAGGTGACATATATTGTTGAAAATATAGATACACATCAGTATTGTCCATTACCGATATATAAGACAATGATTTCTAAAGATAGAAAGCATTACCATTTAGTACCAACGTTGTGCGTCGATGGGTCACCGGTAGACCATGCATGTGGTCCGGCGTTCGATCTTCGGCCGACGCACTCCTAAAGCTTGCTAAACCAATAATAAGACTGGTAAAGAGGTAAGATTGTGCATTAGAAGGTTAGCAACCACATCCCGTAAAAATAATCACCACTGCTACCGAAACTTAAAGCCTCTAGCTTGAATTATTTAACTGAATTTAAGATTTTCCCGTCGATTGATTGGACCGAAATTTTCGGTCTTAAGTTAACATGTCGCCTTCTTGTGCAGATGCTTCGATGATTTCTGCGCATGGAATTAGAATATAATTAGTGGATGGTGACTAGCAGTGGAATCAAAGATGCGCACTTTGTCCTTTTTGGGAATCATCATCTGGGTACACCTGCATTCCATACCCATTGAGTGATGATATTCCCATCGAGAGCCACAAGAGCCACCTCTTGTGCAACGGATCATATTAATTATTCAATTGAATTTTAGATTTTCCCATCAAGCTTGAAGCCCTGTGTTCCACTAGGATTGTAAAGGAATAAAAAGAAAAATTTAAAATTTAAAAAAATCAATGATGTGATTTACATGGAATCTGGAAATAGCACTCCGATACAACATGACGCAGATCGTGATCTAACTTGAAATAAATCGAATCCTTTCGAATCAATACTTAGAAATTAGTTGAATGTCCATTAGGGACTGACTACGGGATATTGTGCGCAGAGTTTTACTGAGAAGTCATGACCAGTGGTCTTCGCTAAGTCAGGGGGGTGGGGAAAACAAATACTCATCGATAACACTGGATGTTGGTGGCGCCATCTATCTTCGATGGGATGTAACAAGTGAGAGTTCATAGTTCACAGGTTTCTGTCGCAATGGATAGATGTTCAAAGAACTCATTTCGTAACCAGAAGGTTTTAGGTTGGACCCGTAACGATAGAGTGATGGTTACGTACTCCTGAGGAGTTCCAGATATCCAGTACTCCTTTATGTTAAATAATCCCCTAAATGATATCGAATCATGATGAAACCTATATTGAATTTTCACTTGTTGCCTTCAGGCCTCTAGTGTTTACCCCCACGTCACAATGATTTCGAATGGAATTGTCCTGATAATTAGTATGTTTTAAGTTTATTCGATTTGTTTGTATCATGGAAAATCTGAAGCTTACATCAAAGTCACAACAGTACCAAAAGAAATGATTGTTTTCCGCTTTTCTGAAACCCATCTGTTCTCTAAATGAAGTCAATTTCTGGTTGAAATTGAAATCAATGAAATCTCTGTAAACTTACATTTGAAAACTAATTCAGTACTCAGTAATGCCTGCCTGAATCTATAGACAGAAGTCAGGATCAGCGGGATCCACTATGTCGAACGTGAGGAAAAATACACAACGATAACACTGACTGGCTGTCACTCTATATGTCGTAAATTGACAAAAGTTGGAATTGATGGGCTGTCGGGTTGCTTCCTAGTGCCTGAATGGTCAATATCTTCAATTCTTGACTGGGCCATGGGTGTTTATTGTCGAAGAGTCCCAAAGAAGGACGAAATATCTATCCAGTTCTCCTAAATGGTTTCCGGTGCTTCTTTAACTGAAGTCAATTCGTGATCAAAATTAAATGAATATTATCAAAACATTACTAAAAATGAATGACAATAATAATAATTATTATTATTGTTAATATCCTTTATTTTATTTTATAATTCATTTTATATTACTCATTTTTTATATCAGATAGACAAAGCATTTAAAGCACTTATTTATAATGGAATACGTGCTGCACCAGTATGGAATTCAGAAAGTCAAAGTTTTATTTCAATGCTTACAGTTACTGATTTTGTACAAATGTTAAATTATTGTTGGAATCCACCTGTAATATCGAATAAATCAGATGCTAAAACTATGCAAATTGATGATGTTGATCAAATGACAATACAAAAATGGAAAGGTAAACAGAATATACGCTTCTCTTTTATTATTATTACTATTATAAACACCTACCTTGCTTGCCTATTGGTTTAAAGCATCCTTGATATTTCATTGTAGATTACATCACGAATCAGTGGCGACTTTTGCTCACTAGTTTAAGCACTCAGCTTTCATTCAGTGGGACACGGGTCCGAACCCCACTTTCCCTACATCAGCCTAAGCAACTAAGTAGTATCACCTGCTTTCCTACAATAAAAGTATGGAACGCGGAACACGTCGTCCTGAAATTGAATTCGTCATGAATCAATATTGCTTAGAAAATCATTGAAATCCAAGAAGTATAGGGCTGGGCTATTTTGGATCATCGAATTCTGTCCGAAGTGGCTCAATGATCAACGGGCTAGCTTGACAGTATAAGGGTCCTGGATTCGATATCTAGTGGGTTTGTTTGTGTGTTCATTGTTGAAAAATCGTAGACAAGGACGAAAAAGTTGATCAGTGGTGATTCTCTTACTGTGATTTTAGTTCACGACGAAATCTGCAATGAAATTAACTCAAATCTCCTCTAAAGCACATAACCTATTATTGTTATTCTTTTGTGTTCCGAGTGAAACATAAGGCATGATTAACATATCTCTACTTTATTCTATTTTCTGCATTTCGCCCTATTTGGTGGAAGAAGTCAGCTGGATATATACCTGCATTTTCATGGCATCATCGAAACGTCTGTATTTGAGGTTAATATGTCATCAGAGACTGATCGTTTCAGTCTGAATAAAGTTAATCACCGGGATATACAACAGACCTTCATATAAGTGTAGAACTTCGACATTCAGGTAGAATACAAATTCATATTAGATAAATTTATTGGAAGTAGCTGATACACAGTGAGTGATACAGTATTATTAACTGGATGTTTGATGTTGATTCGAGGAACAAAGCCTCAGTGGCACTTAAACCAACCAACTTGCCCAGAGACAAACTTTATCAGATTGAGGACTCAATAGATCCAATTTTTAAAAATATAATATATTTCTCAATAGAAGTACTACGTCAACTGTTTCACCATCAGTAGATTCATGGGATTCGATCTACTTCTGAACTATTTAGCGATATGTTGATGATCGATCTTTACAAGTAAGGACTTCAGAGCATATCCCCTAAATGGCTTCAGAAAAAATAAAATAAAATTTATTAAATACGATGAAATGGACTATGAGGTGAATTACAAAGATTAAACTAATAGATCAGGATTAATTAGATTATTGGAATATAGGAATTTAGCTAGAGATAGAATGATTAACGCTGCTGAATTGAATAACCTAGAAAAACAAACAACTATTGCAGTGAATCTGTGGTGAGAGCTGTCTGCAAGACAAAATTGTAGACAACAACTGACGTCAATATTTATGTCATAAATCGGGGTCATGAGAAGAAACAAGAACAAAGCTAAGCCTTGATTAACTCAACAACCAATCACAGTAGGCCTAGCGTGGGCGGACACGATTCGCAGATATATTACGGGACTGTCTCATAAACGGCAACAATAGGAAAACAACCAATCAGAAGACGTTGTTTCTCTGTTAACAATAACGGATACTAATGTACATAAAAATGTATAAGTATCTGTTGATTTGTTCAATAAACGATCTTTTGCCTGGCCCTTGTCTTCTTCCATTATACATTCACTTACATGTAATCCCTCAATAGGGTTGGTTTGAAAGGATGAAAGTATAAAAAAGGTAATACAGTTAGGTGAAGAAAGAAAGAGAGATTAATCACCAGATACATGAAAGATTACTTTGAGTAACTAGGCGGAGAGGCAATATGTATACATATGTATATAAACCAAAATGATGAAGTCGTGTGACTAAATTGATATCATAATGATCAATAAAACTGTTCTCGAGAGATCATCCAGTTATTAATACTGTATCACTTACTGCGTGTTAGCTATATCAAATAAATTCATTTATCTAACATGGAACAACTTTATATAAGTTGTTATTTTTTCATCTAAATTTCATCATATTTACATCATCTAATTACCAAAATATCCGGTCAACACTTACGCTTATTAGATTGAAAAGGTAATAAGGATGCGTTGAAATAGCTATGACTTAAATAAACTTCTCAGTTTCTTCCTTTAAAGGCTAAACTTTTTCACTGGTCTACTGCTTTTAAAAAATATATATATTAAAAGTAAAGTTTAGTCAAGAATTAGGCAAACTATAAATAAATTCGGTCAATTTTAAATTCTTCTCTTTTCTGCTTCTTCTTTCTTTTGATTCCTTTTGCGTACTGAATGAATCATCTGAGACTTCAAGCTTCAGACTTTAAAGTTTCAATATCGGTGGTGATGTTTTCCTTACAGACTGGGATTGCTAACTTCAAACTCAGCCTATTCTTTTTTACAAACTTATTACTAGCTGGTATACTGGAGGAGGTTCAGCGGAGTGTATAGACTGGGCATCGGACCCAAGACCACCTGTGGCATGAATGGAGAGTATTTGATCATTGAATCACCAATGAGAATTCATTCTAAGAATACTTAAACCTATGGTTTTAAACTTGAACCAGTGATTTTTGTTATCCGCACGCCTAAACCTTTCCTATTTATCAGTTTTACTACTGGCTAGGCGAGTTTTAGGAATGCTTCAACCAGGAGTCGAACTGCAGACAACGTGAAGCGCAGCTGGTGGCTGTTCAACCAGGGAACTACCAACTCATTATATATATATATATATATATATATATATATATATATATAATTTCAGTGCCTCAAACACTGTTTTTTCTTCTGTCTTTTTTATGTTTTTTAGACATTGTCATAGCTGATAGAACCCATCGTTTATCGCTACAATTATCTTCGTCAACGAATAAATACTTTAACAAGTCTGTGAATAAATCACGGAATAGTATAGCTTTGACAACATTATGGCCACCATCGAATTGTGGCAGTAGTACATCTTCGTCTTCGTCGTCAACATCATCATCATCATCGGCATCGAATTCAAGATCATCTAGTGCTGATAGCAGTAGTGGTAGAAGTAATGCTAGTCGTAGTAGGAGTAGAAGCAGCGGCAGTGGAAGCGGTAGCAGTAGTCGAAGTAGTAGTAGCAGTCGTTCAAGTATCACATCTTTACCTGCAGCTCTTCCAACAATCAAACTGTCATCATCAGTATCGTCAGTATCAAATCAAAGTGTACAAAATAAGTCAGCTAAGAGTACAACAGATATAAGCAATAATAATAATAACAATGAGCGTGACAACGTTGTTGATGAGACAAGAGCCAACGATACCACTACTACTAATAATAATAATAACAATAATTCATCAGATACTCTATTTCAGACATCCTATACACCAGGACAAACTATTTTTCCATCACGTTTATTTATTTGTGATCCAGAAGAATCAATATTTAAAGCGTTAAGATTATTACTACGATTTCGACTGCATCATTTACCAATTATGGATTCAGCATTCAATGGAAGTGGGAATATATTATATGTACTTACACAACGGAAATTATTATCATATATGTTTGAAAAGCTGGATAAATTACCTCAACCAAGATTTTTACAAGTAAGTTAAGATTTTGTTTTGTTTTTATTTTATTTTTAAAAAGAAAGTATATTTTATTATTAATAAATTTTGACGTCGGTAACACAATGGTAGAATGCTAGCCAACAACGCAGATGGTTTAGGGTTCGATCCCCGGATGACGACTCACTCCTTTACCTCACTAAGCAGTAGTAAGACCGGTAAAGAGGGAAGGTTGGGCATGAGGAGGCTAGCAACCCTATCCTGTAAAATTAAACACTGCTACAGAAACTTCAAGCCACTGGCTTGATGCCCTATGTTCCACTGGGAACGTGGAGCAATAAAACAAATAATAAAAAAATATTAAAATTACATTACTTAAGGTGAATATTATTTGACACTTTTTGTACAAGGGGACTTTCATACAAGAGAGATGGCTAACTCACTGACTGAGTTTCAAAATAAATCTTAGCAGTTTAAGTTGCCATCCTCCATGTAGCATACAAAGACAAGCAGAAGAGGGGGAAGAAAAACATTCAAAAGGAATATAACTGTGGTGAGAACTGTCTGCAAACAAGCCAAGAATTGTAGACAACAATTTACATCAATGTTACGTCCCGAATCAGGGTCATGAGAAAAACGATAACAAAGCTTAACCTTGAGAAAATCACCAACTAATCACAGCGGACCTACCGTGTGGAAATACGATTCGCAGATATATGGCTTAATTTTCTGAGAAACGGTTACAAAGCAATACGGAATAACCTTCAGAAAGAAAACAACCAGTCAGAAGAAATTTCCTCTGCACTGACAACAATGTACATGAAAATGAATAAATATCTCTTGATTTTCCTAATATAATGTGCGTAGGTGGCACATTGGTTAGGACTCTCGCCGACCATGCACATGGTCGAGGTTAGATCCCCTGCCGATGCACACCTGATATCTATGGTCGGCCTGCAAAATTTGGGCTACCGATATCACATGCTGACAATTCCATACCTGTACCAAAAAATACGATGTGGCATCAAGCTGTAATCAAAAATAAGAAAATAAAATAAACAATCAGCTGTATAGCCTTTGTCTTCTGTCGTTACATAATAAGCAGAAATGTGAAAAAAACATGATACTTTAATAAATATGGAAGGTTACAAAGAGTGAAAGCATCTGCGCCAGCCATTGGCAATGATTTTGAGCCATATCACTAAAAGCCTCCAGCCAATTGGTTCTTAGAATCTCTAAGACCCTAAAACAGGTAGCCTACACCTTCCTAAGTAAATGGCTCAAAGTCACTTTCAAAGCCCTAACCCTTTCCCAAATTAATCCTTTGCCGGTTGATATTTTCCCTCGAAGAAGCCGATAGCTCAGAATGCTCAAGACGTGTTCTAGGTATCTCAATCGATGTAGCTTTACAATCTGATTAACTGACTTACCTGCTTTACCTAACACGTTAAGCTTAATTTCAATATCACTCACCATATTATACCACAAGAGAGATGACTTCAGTTTGAATCACAGAGGCAGTTGATTTGAAGTGGAGTTACATAATCGATGGATGCTGATAAATTTCAGCTGTTTTAACGGATTAACATTAGATCCAACGCTCATTAGGGGATTGAAAATGAAAATCAACATCATTCCATGCTGGTTATCATACACTTCATAGTTTACAACCTCAGTTATAGACAAGTGTACAGGGCTTAAAATGCTAACCGGTAATCACTTACTGCTGTCATTTAAATTTGTATCAGTCAATAATCATTGGAGCATTAAATTATTGGATATGAATTGAAATGTATAAGCATCTATTATGTCAGCATTTGTCAAATTTCACTGTTTGCGCAGTTATCACTTCATAAACTGTTTTATATAGAGATAAATACTGCTACCAAATAATCTCATATTATTATTATTACTATTAAAGTAGATAGTTATTGCAAAAGAATAAAAAGTGGTCAGGTGGTTGTAGGCAATGTGCAGAAAGCCTTGAACTCCCTAATTTTCGTGCTTGTTGTCACACATACACCTCAATCAGCAAAGTGTATCTGCAGTCTTCAAGGAACTCATGTCTTTTCTGAGATTCGGATCCAGGTTACCCAGTGCTACAATTGGAGAATTTAACACTGCGGCATTCATGCTTGTGATTGGCCCCTTTATAGGAATGTAATGAATACTTTGATTGGACACCGTCTAACAACACTTCAGAGTGCATATTCATAGCGAGCTAATTAGCATGGTGGCCACATTGGAAACTTGATTGACAGAATTCAGTCTGTACCGAACAATGGGCTGGACACATGACATTCGATATTACTACGATAACATATGATCTTTTATTTTTGTTCACAATAAATCATTTCGTCAAGTAACAATTTCTTAAACAAATTATAAAACTAAGTGCCTACTGTTCAATCTGTTAGCAGACAAAACTAACTAATCTTCCGGAAAGACGAGTATTTTTTAATCATGTTGACTTCAAAAAGCTATTTTACTTTGATATGAATTAATTTATGAAGGCAGTATTGTCTATAAGCAGAATGAAATGCTTTACAGTTAAACCATCAAACTCAGAGGATAAAATACTTCCAAATATAGTCAACACACGCTTTTGTGTCATCTATCCATGATCAACTGACATCGGCTGGAAGACCACTGAAAAACTTTCAGGTAGTACTGGAGAGCTGTTTCGTCTTAGTTTTGGACTCTTCATTAGTATGCACCCACAGAGGTTAAAACTCAGGACCTTCGTAACAAGGCTAGAGAGCTCGTAGATCATTAAGCCAGTGGGACCCAATCCACTGGTCCATGACTTCCAACTTTTGCCGATTCATGAAATGGTGCGACCACTAGCGAATGTCATCAAAGAGTATTTGTCCTCGCACACGATCTACTGCACTCCACTGGTCAGGACTGCCATCAGTGAGTTTGTACTTATGAAGAGTTTCAAACTGGGCCGAAATAGTTAACCAGTAATTCCAACAGGTTTTCCAATGGTTCGTAATGAAATCTATATTTTCATTTTATATCCTTCACTATCTGAAGCATACGTTTTCTCTCTCGAAAATGAATAATTTATTTCGCTCAATAAATAGCATAAACTCAAATATTTATCTAACCATCCCCATAATTTATTCACAACAATAATAATTAGAGTGGACAATTGTTTTCAACAATAGAATTCTTCTTCAGCCTCTATAATTATAAATCCATTAATTTTGGCATACAGTGGAGCCAGTAAATGTAAATTAGAATTATATCAGAAAGTGTATTGTGTTTGGAATAATAGTCAGTGAGTTAGTTAGCTTTGATGATGTGTTTCAATGCATATAAAGTGCATAGCCAATATGCACATGAGATGAAATGAAGTTAGATAATTCAGCAGCGATGTTTCATAATCAACAGAAGGGCAGAGGTTTCAAGGGGTGATTAAAGTCAATGCAATGCTGTGGCAGAGGGAGAGAGACAATATGAATACTACGGAAGGATAAACAACCAATCGGGTGTACCAGATGTAAGATCAAGGGTTGGTTGCCCTTTTCATCAAACCATAAAGGTTGTAGAGCCTGAAGAAGAATTTCCTAGAAGTAGTTGTGCTCCCTAATTATTTTTCTGAACAAATTTATTTATTCATTTGCTTTTGAGTAAATTCATAGAAAATTAATCTGATGCTCGCTAGTGACTTGCTACAGGATAGAGTTTCCTGGAGTTTTAGTGAGAAGTCGTGACTAATGAGTTCCAATTAGATGCCACGTGTGTGAATGGATGTCCCACCAACAACAGTGGTTGGGGTCGCGTTAAATCACGAATTGGTAGAAGTTAGAATTCATGAACCATTGAATCGGGTCCCAGTGGCTGAATGGTATACGAGCTTACCTTGTAACCGGAAGGTCCTGGGTTCGAATTCCAGTGGTCGCGTACTCCCGACGATTCACAAACTAAGATGAAACAGCTGCCCAGTACTCCAGTACCGGTTTTCAATGGTTCTCTAACTAATATTAATCCGTGATCAACTCGTAAATGTTTTATCAATTTTATAGGGTCTAAGTGTACTAGACTGAAGCTTAGTTATGATTATGTAAGTACACAGTGAACTTTTCATATGACTGACGACAGTGGTGACAAATGGAAGTGAATGGACTGTCCAACAACAAACATTTATCATGTCTTTTCAGCGTAGTGTTAACTGATAAACTAAAAAGCCAAAACTGCTTATTTCGGTATAATTGTGTTCTCTAGGCTGGATGGTTTACCTGTAAAACTTTCATAGCCTTACTAGGCAATATCCTCAGTGCATACTTCAATTTTTAAAGTGGGCTTTTAAATTTCCCTACGAGTTTATAAGTCAACTCTCTTGGTAACCTTGAATGTGACTGGTTGTTTTGGCCTGTTTTTTTTTCACCATGTAGTCCACTTGTATTCGTATTGATTGTTTATTTCTTTGACCCAACAGTTGACTTTTTGTCCATGTGAATTCCGTTTTATGCATTGATTAGGCTTATATATGTTAGTCTGTTTATTGATTGACGATTGAGCTGAATACCAGGCTTCTAGAAAGTCTCCGGCATTTCTGGTGTTTCCTCTGTCTTAAATTTGAACATTAGGTCCCAACAGAATTTGTATCCATGGTTATCTGTATACAATGATATGAGGAAGTGGATATCGTGTTTTTTGACAGGCCAGTATATGTTCATGGATGTGAAGACATTAGGGGGCATCCAAGTTGACCAATGGATCACAATAGCCACCTAGTGGATAACACTTTGAAGTTTGAAATGATGGTTGCTGCCTCCGAATTTCAGTGGGAACTCACTGGAGTTTACAAGTACATCTCACTGACGAGTCCCAAACAGGACAAAATGAGTGTCATGGATTTCATTGCTAGTCAGTCAGTTACCACTCACCAAATAACATCATGTTAATCGTGAGATATCACCGAAGAATTCATACTAGGATCCAACATATCAACAGAGACTGAGCATTACAGTCCAGTATAATAATCGGTCTTTTCAACTACAGGCGGACGAAACTGATGAGGATGTCAAGCGAGGATAAGGAAAGCAAGACAAGCTTTCATTACTCTCAAGTCTGTGTGGAGGTCAACATCACTCCTCAGCATGAAAAATAAGATCCGGGTTTTCAACTTGAATGTGAAGTCAGTGCTACTATATGGATGGATCAGAGACTTGGCGCATCATAAAAAGCACCTTAAACAAACTACAGACCTTCATTAACAGCTGTCTTCGCTGGCTCCATACTGAAGATCAGATGGCCAGAAAAGATCAGCAACAGCGATCTCTGGCAATGAGCGAACCAACCAGCAGGAACCGATTGTGAAACAAATAGGCAGGAAGAAATGGAGATGGATTGGCCATACTCTGAGAAAACAAACCATCAAGTGACATCACTAGACAAGCCATCGCTCGAGTGGAACCCGAAAGGGAAGCGGCGAGTTGGTCGTCAGTGTGAGGATGACATGGAGGAGGTGATGTGAAGAGGAGATGAAAGCATGTGGGCAGACCTGGAGCCAAGTGAAAACTTTAGCAGAGAACCGAACGCAATGGAGACGTTTGGCTGAAGCCCTATGTTCCTCTAGGAATTAAAGGAAATAATAATATAATTATCGGTCAGCAGGATATATATATATATAATTTATTCCTTTAAGTTCGAGTGAAACATTTTGCTTCAAACTTGAACTCTGAAGTTTCAGTATTGGTGTTGTGATTATCTTTTTATCACGACTTCGTATTGCTAGCCTCACGCTGAACCATCCCTCTTTAACGACTTACTACTGATTAAGTGATATAAATGAGTTTGTCAGCCGAGAATCGAACCCCGGACCACGTGAGGTGTGGTCACCGAGTATTCGATCATGGAACCACTGACACATCATACATATAATAAAATATGTTTAATTCATCTGTTCTTTCTTATTCTTTTTTTTGATTTTTATTTCATTCAATAGTCCAGTCTAATAGATCTTAATATTGGTACGCATGGATCTGTGTTAATGATTACACTGTCGACCCGATTAGCTGATGCTGTCTTACTATTTCGTGATAATTATATCACTACACTACCAGTTGTTGATTCAATTACAAATCGTCGATTAATTAATATCTTTTCGAAATTTGATGTATTCGTAAGTTTATTGTTGTTGTTTTTTTATTTTTTTTAAAATTATTTTAGCGTCACTCAACTAGCATGTGTTTATGCGTGAAAGTGTATTTTTTCATTATCCGGCCAACAGAGTTAACTTCTCATTTTGAGGGTGTAAACTGATCATATATATATATATATATATATCATCGACAATACCCATTAAGTCATGAAGAAAATAAAAGACAATTCAGCGAAGAAAATTTTCTTCATCGATGAAATCACCTCCAGAGGCTATACAGTTGTATTTATATGTACAAAAAATGTGTAGCAGTCCATTGTTGATTTATATGGAGGTGGGTGACATAACTGATATAATTACTCAGTAGTGGCTTCAAAAAGTCAAACTCAAAGTTATCAGTTACATAATACTCAATGGCACAAAGGAAGAAAGCGTTAGAAATTTGATAAGGTTAAAATTATTATTAACGCGTGATAAGAAAGATGGCAGTTGAGTGTCTATTTAACGAGTGTGAAGAGGGTGTGAAAATGTACAAAAAGAACATGTGAGAATAATAATGGTGAATTAATTATTAAAGTAAAAGCAAAGTAATCATTTTAAACAAAAGAATTACAGGGAACGACTAATGAAGAGGTTAAGAACATGGTAGAAGAAGAGACTGAACTTGTACTGATGAATCGCCAACGCCTCCGCCATACATAAATACCGAAACCGAATCCCCTTTATACCATTTGACCTCACCTTGTACACAGTCTTGAAAGACGACTCTGGTGGAGCTGCATGGCTTGTGTTCACCAATTGCTCGAAAATTGAGCTAGTAACTCTCTCTCCTTTTGCTAACCATGACGGATACTGTTCAGAAATACATTTGGAAAGTGTGCACTTTGTGCGGCCAATAAACTAACACCACAGGAACAAGTGAATTTACAAATAAATATTGAAGTGGCTCAAAGCGGGAGTTTATCTTTCACAAATCCATTAATCATTTGTCGCCTGTAAAAACTTATCCGTAGTCAGCTGAAAAGAAGGCTTTTCTCAGAATCTCAACCTTATCAAATTTCTAACGCCCTTTTCCTTTATGCCATTGGGCAATTACGTAACTTGCGACTTTTATTTTTACTTTTGAAGCCATTTCTGAGTGATTATATCAGGTGTGTTACATAGACCGCCTATTACTCAATAATGGATTGTTATTCATGTTTGGTCAATATAAATATGACTGTACAGCCTCTAAAACCTTATTCAACAGCTGCACGACGACGCAATTTGTCCAAGTGATCCACAACGGAAAACTCAGTGAGGCGTTTGGAGTAAACACAGGAGTCAGACAAGAGTGCTTATTATCACCAATGATATTCCTAATTGTGGTGGACTGGATTATGCGTCAGACAGTGGGAAACGAGAAGACAGGGATAGCCTTTCGGGACCGATGTGAAAAACCTAGAAGACCTGGATTTCGCGCGCCGATGATTTATGTTTGATGTCACACACAATCGAAGACTTACAAGCGAAAACCGACAAACTGGTCGAAGAAGCAGCAAAGACAGGACAGACTCCATGTGAACATAGACAAGACGGAGGTGATGAAAATAACCAACCAACAACAGCAACAGCCAGCGTCAATCATCATCAACGAGACGGATTTGAAAGAGGTTACTTCATTCACTTATCCAGAGAGCATTGTTTCAACTTCAGGCAGTCTGAGCGGACGAGGATGTCAAATCGAGCGAGAATCGGGAAGGCGACCGAGAAACACATTCATCAACCTGAAACCAATCTGGAAAATCAATATTCGTCACTCAGCATCAACAACAAAATTCGGTCGGATTTTCAATACAAACGTCAAGTCAGTCAGTTCTTCTATACGGATCAAAACTTGGCGGGTGGGTCACAAAGAATATTTCCAACAGCCTGTTGCAGACGTTACCTTTATCAACAGCTGTCTTCGCTCTATACTGAAGATCAGATGGCCGGGCCGGAAAGAATCACCAACAAGAAACTATGGGATGGCAACAAACAAAACAAGAAGCAATCGCCCAACAACAACAATTATGCAGGAGAAAGTGGAGATGGATCGGACACTCACTCGCTGAGGAGGCCACTGGGTGACATCGCGCGCGTCAGGCCATTGCTCGAGTGGAACCCGACAGGGAAGCAGCGAGTGGGACATCAGTGCAAGAGTGACATGGAGGAGATGGTGTGAAAAGAGAGGAGTTGAAAGAGTATGGACTAACATGGATGGATGCAGGTGAAAAGTACAGCAGAAGGAAGACAGAAGTGGCAAGTGGAGACGTGCAGTTGAAGCCCTATGTTCTACTAGGAACCCAAGGGTACAATAATAATAATAATAATAATACAATACAGCCTCTCAAGGTGATTTCGTCGATAGAGAAAATTTTCTTCGTATATATATGATTTGTATATATGCTTATTTATGCAATCAACTAGTTGTGTCTCTACAGTATTCTTTTGAAGTGTTTATATCCCTTCTGCTTTTTCCTTTTCTCCTTTTTAATAACACTGACGTAATCCTTTGGAATGTGATAATTTTTCAGACAATTGACTTAATTATTTCACACCGTGTAATCTGCTCTGTTTTGTTTTTTATTATGATGGATGGGAAAACAACAATTTCCAGTGTAGCATAATGCTGACACGTACGATGTATATGATAATAATTATAATAATAGTTGTAAAGTCGACAATATTTCAAGTGTTTCTGTTTTTAGATGTAAAGAAGAAAGTGTTTTCGATAATCCTGAATAGTTAAAAAAAAAAAAAATAATAATTGTAGACAAATTTCCTAGTCAAAGCAATAACAAAAATCTCTAAGCTGCATTAGTTAATACTGTTTGAACGCGTTCGTATAATAAGGCTTAGGTTTACTTTTGTTATGCGTTTTTTTACTGAATTGAAGTAAAGCATAAGTTGTTATTGAACACCTTTACTCTGCTGTGAGTTTAAATACTCTAGTGGTGAATATTCATGACTTTTTGAAAAAGAATTGGATACAGGACCCATTCAATTTTGAGGTTGGTTCGGTAAATTAACCTACTTCAACTATCAATTGACATTAACATTCTATAAGTCTATAAATAAATAAATACATTATCAAGGGTTGGTTTGCTGGGATTTGATTGGTTACAGGTCTAATTACAGGGAATACTGGACAGGTGTTTCGTCCTAGTTCAGGACTCCTCACTATTAAGGAGCTAACCCGTCGTTAGTCAATGTCTCAAGCGAGTGGCATACTTGTCTCATTACTGTTTGATGATGTTTTGTGCTCAACACTGTTTATCGAGACTTCGGATGAATACCATCGACAAGTACCACTTTAGGACGAAGTAATCTGTTCACTGCCTACCACTACCCTTTCGTTTAGTATTTACTTACTTCTAGCTGATATCTATTGTATAACGAATTCTACCTTGATATTTTATGATGTATATCTTACCGACTGCTGATAACCACCCAATTTACTTTGATGCTCAAATTAAAAAGATATCCAGTATTTATGATGGAGAAGATTTGTAGCTCAGGTGGTAGGGCCATATATATAAAGGACATCTCAGAAATCACTGCAAGACTCTTCAAACCTTTAGGAATTGATGGTGCACACAAACCCACAAAATCACTTTACTCAGCTGGTTCTATGTCAACAAAAAAGACTCAACAACGAAAGAAGATAAAACCAACATCATCTATAAAATAAATTGTAACAATTGCAAAAAACACTTCATTGGCCAAAGTGGACGTCCTCTTCGTCTTCGTATCCATGATCATAAGCTAGATGCCAAAAGACATGACATCCACTCCTTTGCTCACATCACTGCATACAGACAACCACGGACATCGGTTTGACTGGGACGATGTTCAAATACTAAACAAAAGGAACACCAAGAATGCTAGAGGATTTATAGAAGCATGGTATTCCAGTGAATCATCACATTGACATACACAAAATCTAACAACCAATAAGAAGGGTTAAAGTTCAAGTCAAAGTAACAATCAGTTCCAGTACAAGTAGCCTAAGAGGTGTGAAAACACACAAAAACAACTAATCCCATCCAAGGTCACCAGGAGAGATGATTAATAAACTCATGGAGAAATCTAAAATCTCACTTCAATGAAGTGAAGTATACACTGAAGATGTCGCCTAGTAGGGCGACGAAAGCTTCGTAAGTTAACTATCCAGCTCAGAGGACACAACCACATCAAATATACCAGTAGTTGTCAGGGTTAAATTGTAAACCTTCTTTTAGTTTTCTTCAGATTATGCAAGCTCTGTTTCAATGAATAATAACATAATTAGTAAAATGTTCTTTATATTTACAAGTTTAATCCCTAGCTGATATCACTTAGAGAACCCTTTGAAAACTAGGAAGTACTAGACAACTAGTGAATTATCAAAAGTTAGTATTAAGCACCGGCTATTAGATTCCATCTCATAACTTGAAGGTTCTGGGTTTGATCCCAAACAGTGCAGTGATGGTTGTGTACTGCTGAGTAGTCCAATTAATTAGGATGTAAAAACTCTTCATTACACCCTGGATTCTAGTGGTTTTCCAAGTGATGTCAGCATGTGATTAATAAACTTGTAATTGATCGGAATTCCTCTGACACTCCAATACTTGAATATTTTATGCTTACATACTTCTTTATTTAATTAACTGAAATTCAGATCAATAAAATGAATTCTTCACTGAGTACTGAAATATGTCTGAATAAACAATTTTCTTCGAGCTTAAAATATGTTTTAGGAAAACGAAGTACTAAACATTCGTCTGGGAAATTACACCGAAACAAGTTTTTTTTCAGGTCATACTTATTTGATCTCTTCCTAAATTAAGAGAAACAATTTCAAATCAGAAGATCATGATTACCCATCCTCATTTATTATAAGCATAAGAAATAATACTTTGTAGGTTTTTTGGTAGTCATGATAATAAGAAATACTGAGGCGTTTCTGTATACACTGTGCAGACATCAGTCAGTTAGAGGACTATAGAAAAACATCCGGGAATTCTAGAGATCTGTTTCGCACATAATTGGGACTCTTCAGGAGCACAAGCTCATCATCATCATCAGCTCACCACTAGAGATTGAACCCATGATCTTGAGGTTAAAGGGTCAACCCTTTGACGATTTAAACATCGCAACAGAATTTAATGACTAACCAATCAATTCTAACTTCTGCCGATTCAAAGGTATATGGTACTGTGGCGTGTGCTCCTGATAATCAATAGTATATAAAGAGACGTCCATCTGCATAAAAAATATCAAATAACGGAGAAATTGATTTGATGTCATAGGAGACATGAAAGGAATACAAAGAAGGAACACACCAATTTGAAGGAAGACAAGGAGTATCGCAACACGGAAGATCTGTGCAAATGATGATTTGAAGATTAGGTGTACTTAATTCGACTATATAGAGATACCCAATTGCTAATAAACATTCCAATAGAAGATGAGAGATTTAGTAAAGGAATGTATTCCTTTCATGTCTCCTATGTATCTCCACAACACTGTATCATTTGCTTTCTCTGACATCAAATCTATTTCTCCGTTATTTGATATTTTTTATGCAGATGGACATCTCTTAGTATACTACTGATAAATCTTAACAGTAACAAACGCCACTATACCATCTTTTTAATTTGACACTAGTAACTAGTGTGATATATGTAGTCCTCTCATTGGTGCAGACTAAATTCTATCAGTCAGGTTGTATTGCGGCCACCATTCAGCATATCACGTTTTATAACACGTATATAACATGTATATAAGATGATAATACTTAATCCTACTATTGCTATGGCTGTTATGGCATAATCTTGACCAATCGACTTAGTTAAATAAAAGTAATTAGTTTGTTATCAAAGGAACAATATATATTGTCGCTGACTGACACAATAATGAAGGAAGCAATTGTTACTAACCTTAAGCAAAGTAGGTAGGTGTTTGTTTAAATGAGGATTGGTATGAAAATATCAGATGATTTCAACCAAAAAATGTACATTTGACCTATTTGATGTTTAGCGAATTTTTAGCCTATTTCAGTTTACTAATCAGCTGATGCGTGTTATTTTATCTTATTTTTTTTATTCATACTTATAAACATATTCTCTTTTTTCATTCTTTTTCCCTTCTCACTGAGACGAAGGACTTCAGGCTGATTTTGTTTTTAGAGGTTCAGTAGGGACGATGTTGTGTTTTTTGTTATTTCTTAAGGAGTAGTGTTATTATAGCCTCATGCGTAATCCCCCCCCCACTTTATCGACCGACTGGGTCGACTGGAAATCAAACCTAGATCTCCTCGAGTAGTGTGGTTGGCGAATATTCTTACCACTGAACCACCAAATGATATTTTGCTTTTCTGATAATGAGTTAAATAGTAGTCGTTCACCAAAAAATCCCGGTGGGTACGTACTGCTGAAGAGCCCCAAACTAGGACGAAACAGCTGTCCAGTTCTCCCAGGTGGTTTTCCAATGGTTCTCTAACTAATGTCAGCTCATGATTAAATCCTTAAAAAAAAGAATACTTTATTCCGAACAGTGTTCATACAGTGTACAGAATTTTCAACGGAATTTATTGCATAATAGTTAATTTTTCTGTCAAAAATCCTCGAGTGAAAAAGTAGCTGATAGTAAATAGCATTACACATTACTGTATGAAGTAAAGCGAAAACCAATTCCTTGGGATATTTCTTCTTTGACCCTCTCCTTCGAGAAAACAAAAGGATTGAGCAAAGAAATACTTACTTTTCAATTAGATCCTGATTTCTGGATCGACTCGAATAAATATTATAGCATTTTTATTACAAAGCGCAGCAATTTGCCAATCAAGTGGCCGGCGATATGTTTGTTTACAATAATTACTTAGTATCAACATGCCAATGGGGTGATAACTAACGAAGAAAATTAATGCATACAATTAAAAGGTAGAAATGGTTACAACACGTGGATTGCATAATGCATAATTTTGGAAAAATGAAGAGTAATTAAGGAATAAGCAAGTGCCCAAGTTGATTACGTAATAGCAAAATAAGATGATTTGGACAATGATAAAATAGTCAGGAAAATAACAGAATAATTAGGACAAGTATTTTTTTAAAAAAAGGTTTACGAGGGAGGAGGAACGAAGTAGTTCCTTGCCTTTCAAGTGGAAGATAGGGCTTCAGGCTACAGCTGTTCCAATGGCAGTATTTTTTACGGGTGGGGTTCCTAGCTTCACGCCCAACCTCCTCTCTTTGTCGGCGTTGTAACCGGCGAAGGGAGGTAAAAGAGTAAACCGGTTGGGAATCAAATTTCGGACCACGTGCATGGCTGACCACCATTTTACTGCTGAACAACCGAGGCACATTTTGTTGAAAACCAGTTTAAAAAAGATGCATGAGGACATTTTGAGAATCAAGGACACAATAATAACAGCTGAATAATTAAACACCGCAAGTAGTTAGTTTTATTTCTCAAGCGATATCAGCTTATACTAAAAGTGATAGGAGCATTTATTCCATATATTGGGATACATTACCGCCCATAATGTCGCCTTTTCTCAAATTTAGTAGAAACTTGTGAATCAGGAAGTCGTAGATATTTTAAATACTCTCGAGAATAGAAAGTACCGTTAGAGGCCATATTTAAATAGATTAAAATAATGTGAACCAGAGAAATCATATGAAATGTAATGATGAGTGTTTCTGATGGCTTAAGTGTTAAGTACGCCGCCGCGGGGCTAAGAATGTTCAGTGTTTGTGTATATACGTGTGGTAAAGGAATTTCGTCATTGTTTGATTTTCTCTAAAATGCAGTGTTAAATTTTATGATTTTACCACCATGCATCAGTTATTCAATGCTTGCCAGCCTTCCCTTACCCAACCGCGGAGGTCTAGGCTCATTTCCTGGCCGACACAGTCATAAATTTTGTCTAGTAAACCCATAAAATATGAAAGGTTGGGCCTGAGGCTAACAACACCACTTCTTAAAATAAAATAACACCACCACCACTACTACTAAAATTTCAAGGTGTGGAGCTTTATATTCCACCCGGAAGGCAAAAGGAATAAAAAAATAGCCAGCATACTATCTAATTTAATCAATATTCTCTGCATGGCTTTGGTAGAGGCACTTTAATTCCACTTATCATTATCAGAATTCAGAAAGGAAGACATTTATGTGATCGTCTCTGTCTTTCTCCCTTTCTCTCTTCTTAACCTCTAATCCACCTCTAATAAAACAACAGCCACAAAAAAAAGAGAAACAACACATTACTATGCACTAATACTTAAATATACAACATATCTATGCTATAGACTGATATTAAGTTTACCTGAGGCTGGATTATCTTGGCAAATGAATTCTAACGTGATTGTCTGTTGTTTTGATACTACTGATATCAGAACTATGACCAGCTGTAGGGCTAGATTAACTGCTTGAAATGATTACTTTACGCTAACCGATATAACCGTCTGATCCTAAATATGTTGACTGATATCTGTCCTGATATCACTTTAGTGGCCCAAGTAGTCCCAGGGGGTAGTGATGAACGATGCATCGGTGGTTAATCGATAGAATGTTCATCAACCATGCACAAGGTTCCGAGTTCGATTCCCCCTCGACTCACTCCTAAACCTCACCTAGCTCTTAGTTAACCTGGAAAAGATGGAAGGTTGAGTATGTGGTTATTAACCCTACCACTTCATGGAGGTGAATTTAACTGACAAGATACCATAAATAGATGTCTGATTGAAATCCTGAGGAAAGTTGTATCACATTAATAATCATCAATGATAAGAGTTTTGTCTTCTTCGTTTGCTTACTGGTATATCAAATATACTCTTGAAAGAAAATTTATGTGCAGCACTGAATTACGCCTTATTATACTATTATTATTATTCCCTTGAGTTTCTAGTGGAACACGAGGCTTCTACAGCACATCTCCATTTCATCCTTTTCTCTGAAGTCGTCTTTAGCTGACTCCAAGGTTGTCAATAAGCTTTCAGTTCCTCCTCATACGATCTCTTCTATGTCATCTTTGGACATACGATTAACTCGCTGTCTCCTATCAGGGTTCCACTCTAGGCTCTGTCCCGCAATATCACTCACTGGTCTCCTTGGCGTGGGTTCAGTCCATTTCCATTTTCTTTTGCATATCTATTGGGCAATAGGCTATTTGTTTAGTTCATTGCACTGCAGAGTTTTATGTGACAAATCCTTTTTGGCCATCTGATATTCAGTATGAAGTGAAGATAAGTGTTGTTAAAGGTCTGCAGTAGCCTGTTGGAAATGCTTTCAGCAATGCTTCAAGTCTTTGACTCATATAAAAAACTGATATGACATTAGTGTTTAAAATTCAAATTTTGTTTCTTATGCTGAGTGTAGGAGATTTCCTCCCACGAAGTAGTGAAGGCCTGTCCGGCTTTAACATTCTCATCTGTGCCCCGGTGGATGAAACGATGTAGCCTGGATAAATGAAAAAAGTGACTTTCTTCATATGCATATGTGGAATCGTGTACCTACCTACCACTTTGGTGATTGTCTTTAAGCGTTGTCCAATGTTATATTGTTGAGTTTATAACAATATCCAACCTTGTATGAAATATAATACTAATTAAAATAATTGAATAGAATTCTTTTTTTCAAGACTGGAAAGATGTTATTAATTTTTTTTATCCTGTAATTTTATTTCTTTATTTTCCCTTTTGTCTTCTCATAGACACTTATATTGAATGGTGCTTATAAAAATCCTGATCTAACTATTAAAGAGGTACTTGAAATATGCAAGGTGAGTTTGCACAATATTCAGCGGATAACATTTTATGCCTTATCACTGAGTGTGATATTTAATCTTTTCTCGTCTCTTAAAGCACAGGCGGAACTGACGAGGACATCAAAGCCAGAATCGGAAAAGCAAGACAAGCTTTCATTACTCTCAAATCTGTGTGGAGGTCAACAGCACTCAGCATCAAAAATAAGATCCGGATTTTCAACTCCAATGTGGAATCAGTGCTACTATACGGATCAGAGACTTGGCGAGTCATAAAGAGCATCTCAAACAAACTTCAAACCTTCATTAACAGCTGTCTCCGCTCAATACTCAAGATCAGATGGCCGGCCAGAAAAGATCAGCAACAGCGATCTCTGGCAATGAGCGAACCAATCAGGAACCGATTGTGAAACAAATAGGCAGAAAGAAATGGAGATGGATTGGCCATACGCTGAGGAAACCATCAAGTGACATCACTAGACAAGCCAGTACTCGAGTGGAACCCGAAAGGGAGGCGGCGAGTTGGTCGTCCAAGGGTGACTTGGAGGAGGTCATGCGAGGAGGAGATGAAAGCATGTGGACAGACCCAGAGCAGGGTGAAAAAGTTGTCAGAAAACCGAAGGCAATGGAGGTGCGCAGCTGAAGCCCTATGTTCCTCTAGGAACTAAAGGATACAATAATAATAATAATAAAGCACAGTTTCAGTAATATTAAACGTTTTCAGTGTTTAAAAAGATAAAGGGAATGAAAGTCAACAGTTTTGTGGTAGGTCGAAGGATTTCATCTTGAGTTGACATCAGTTAGAGAACCATTGGAAAACCTGCACGGAGTACTAGACAGCCAGCTGTTTCGTCCTAGTTTGAGACTCTTCGGAAGTATACACTCACCACAGGGGTTAGAACCGAGGACCTTATGTTTACAAGGCGAGCTTGTAGACCACCAAGCCACTAGGACCCGATCCAATGACCAGTTCATGAATTCTGACTTCTGCCAATTCATGACATAGCGCAATCACTTCGTAATGTCTTCTTCGATGAGTTACTGCCCTATTGGTCATGGCTTCCCACTAGAACCCTAGGTTAACTGCTGAATAGGGTCGGTCTCTAATGAGCATCATTTGAAAAGTTAATCAGTTAAGATTTTATTGATGATGAATAAATAATATTAAAACAAAAGTGGGAAAGCAAAAGGTTAACATGATGATATGAACATACTATCACTTAAAAAAAGCCAAAATTTGTAGCTTAGGTGGATGATTTCGTCGTGATTATTCTCTTTCCAAACAAATGGTCATTGTATTACGGTTAGAACATTTAGAACATCTATTTAGTGAAGTCTTAGCCATCATGAAATACAACTGAAATTAAAAAACAATTATGTCAGTTTTTATGAAGCAGAATAACCATGCTAACAGGGGAGGGCTAAAGGCGATCACCAGGGGGCCATTCACCCAGGTTTCATTCTTGTTAACGCTCGTTAGCGAGGTACATCTGTGATCTTAAGAGAAGTAGCGTCCCCTCTGGTATTCCAACTCACACGACCCAATATTGAAGTCAGAGAGACTTTACTATTCAACTCTTTAGGTGCATGGTTAACCTTCTATAGGAGTGTGACGGATCCGCTGATTGGTCAGTAAGGAGTGGTCTGTCTGTCTGTTTTCGACATAGAACTTTGCACATATGTGCGACAGTTTAAGTCGCCACACTCCATATAGCACACAAAGCAACAGAAGAAAGTAGAAGAAATGCATATTAGAGACAGTAAACAGAGGAATAGTAATAACGAAGAACAATATAGTTTCATTGGGAATCATAAGTCACAAGGAGTGGATGCATCTGCGAAAGCCATTGAGAACGATTTTGAGCCATATCACTAACTGTATCCAGCCTTCATTGGCTTTTACCGTCCCGAGGACCCCAACCAGTCAGGAAGTCTACACCTTCCTACGTGGCTCAGACTAACTGTTGTAGATTTCATCGACTGGCGCCATGTTTTGGTTTGACCGCCACTAGCTCTTTTCCAGCCTGACCCTATGTCCGCTAACATTACCCATTGTTGAGGAAGGCGATGACTAGGCATACGTGACACATGTCTTAACCATCTCAGTCTTTGTAACTTCACAACTTCGTCGACTGATTTCCCCTGTTTACCTAGCACTCGACGCCTAACCTCAATATTACTCATCTTATTATACCACTTCACACGGGAGATAGAACGCAGGCACCTATGATCAAAGAAAGCTAATATTTTCATGTCTTCCACTCTCAGTGGCCAAATCTCACAGCTGGCCATAAAGGAGGACGGAGAGGACTGATGAGCAGTACACACGCCCCTTGGTCGGTAGCCGGATATCACGTCTGCTCCAGAGACGGTGTATCTCTGTTGGTGCTAACTGTATTTTATTAGTTAATGCAGTCGATTCCTATTCATCACACTACGTTAAAACCCTAAAATATATTTACTAAATCCATGTATTTGTTGTGCCTTAATAAATAATAATTAAACAGCATGTTATCTTTACTTTCAAATTATGTGTATAGGGAAATACTCAATCTACTGTTGGCTCACAAAGTAAACCACCGGTTGAAGTGTGTCTTGTAACAAACAATTTACTTTATGTTATGGAGAAATTGGTGAAAACTGGAGTAAGTCATTAATTTTAATAGTAAATTTTATCACTTTATTTGATTATAACTGAAGGTAAGATGAGAGTCTAGGTTACCACAAGATTCTCACTGGGCTGAGACTCTGAATTACAAAGTCATCATGATGACCTGCTTAGTAGTAGTTGGCTGTCGTCACTCACCTAGTAGACCACCGGACTACATATTCATTGGTTCCTGTTAATAATACTATCGCCTGAGTTCGGAGGGAAACATACAGCTTCAGCAGTACATCACCATTTCACTCTGATATCTGCAGTTTTTTTCAAATGGCTATGTTCCGGTTCCATTCAAGGGTCTGTCTAGCGTGTGATGTTACTCAATTGTTTCCTAAACGTATGTCCAATCTGTCTCCACTTCTGTTATTTTGTTAGACAATTGATTCTTGGTTGGTTCACTGGCTACCAGACTTTCTTGTTACATATCCTTTCCAACGCGCTATTTGGTCCTCAGCGTGGAGAAAAAGGCAGTTGTTGGTGAACGTCTGCAGCAAGCTGTTGGAAAGGATTTTGGTTACCATGTGTGTTGATATCGTGGGCTATATAGAATACCTGACTTGACATTAGCTTTGAAAATGTGATTCTTCTAATTCCTTGTGATGAATACTGTAGATGTCCACAGTGGTTTCAGGGTAATAAATGTCTGTCTTGCTTTCCTTTCCGAGGTATTCAGCGATTATACTGTTGGATTTTTTAAATATACTTGATATACCTATAGATAAAGGTATCATATACAATCAGATGACGTGATTTCTCTCGAGAAACTGTTCAGTCAGATTTCTAGGCAATAAACCCCCAACAAATTGGATTGAATTAGTCCAATGACTAACCTTTTTATTGATAGTTTCAATAATTACCAATCTCCTTAAACAGGCTGACATACTGTTATAACAAATACTTATATTCACATTATCTGCCAAGCTATGTAGATCTTCATCTGTCAGCCATAATCCTACTGAATTTAGGAGGAGGTGAGTAGATTTCTAATTGATAGTGAGGCAATCTTGAGTACTTTTCACTTAGTAGATTGTTACTGATGCAATGGGTGATAGATGATCGAAGGTGAAGAGAGAGTCTGGATAACATGAGAACTCGAACCAGTGGCTTCCTCGATTTACCAATCTAGTGTCCTATCACGTTTTAGTATGCAAAGATTTGCTTGATTTCTAGATTGATTACGAATTGAATCCAGTTAGAGAACCATTGAAAAATCAGGTAGCAGTGGTGGACATATGTTTCGTCCTTTTTTGAAACCCTTTATCCAGTATGTACACATGTTCCCCCTCCCAAAACAAAGGTTGAATCCAGAATCTGCGAGCTACAAAGCGAGCTCGTATACTCCATCCAACCAATGAGACAGAATCTCATGATCAACACATCAATGCTAACTTCTACTGATAACTTTGCGATATACTGCGTTACCGCCAGCTAATGTCATCGATAACTACCTATGTTCATGCCCGACTTAACTGACCCAGCCGTCCTGTAATCAGTCACTAGTGAGCGCTAAGTTAATTTTCAGATATCAGTTTTCAGGCATTTGGATGATTTTAATTTTGATAATGAATTAATTTCAGTTAGGGAAACATTGAAAACCATTTTGGGAGTTCTGGACAATGTTTCGCCCCACTGTTTGGGACTCTTCATCAGCCTAGACCCACGAGGGGATGTTATCATTCAATCAGTTGAGATAAGCGGTCACCCTGAATGTGTTAATCACATCTACCCCAAATAGTTTCACCAGTAAAATGCTTATAAGCTTACTAACTTATTCATAAGAGAAATGTTGTATATGATATATATGTAAAGAAAAATTCAGACCAGAACTTTGGATTCCAAGTTAATAAAAAATATACTTTCACGTATATATGCATGATAATATATATGTAAAATAACTAGTGGAATGTGAATATTGACCATTTCGATGAAATGAAAATTTAGGCTTTATTCTTATACTACTTATTATTACATGGAGGATTTAATCATGAGCTGACATCAGTTAGAGAACCACTGCAAAACCTGGGAGTACTGGACAGCTGTTTCGTCCTAGTTTGGGACTCTTCATCAGTACGCACCCACCGGGATTCGAACCCAGGACCTTCTGGTTACAAGGCGAGCTCGTAGACCATTGAGCCACTGGGACCCGATCCAATGGTCCTTGAATTCTAACTTCTGCCAATTCACGACTTATTATTACTATTGTTGTTCTACTGAATATATTTTCAAAACCATGAAACCTAAATTTTGGAAATAATATCTTTACTAGCATAAAATAACAAATTCCTGTGTTGTTATTCTTTCCTATTAAGTAGATAGTAGGCCGAATAAATAAAATAAATAAATAGAATAAATGAATATTTGTTAGATTTAAGATAAGCTTCAAAGCAATCAATTTAGCTAAAGGTTGAGAAGTATTCATACTATTGTCTTCGAAAAGGAAAAGCAGAAGCAAAAGCAGAAGAGGAATACTCCAAGTGAAAACAGTCAACAATATCGTATTTGTTCAGCAGGGGATTATGCGTATGTATACGAGTATATCATACATGCGTGTGTGTGTGTATATATATTTACATGTATGCTATAATCGGAATTCTACTTGACTTAAGTTGTTTTCGTTTGAAAATACTAATAAAATATAGAGTGTATCAGTCAGTAATCATTGAGAAGTAGTTAGTCTCCATTCATTCTAGTTAGAAAAACAAAATAACTCGTGTTCTCATTGTTTTTATTCACATAAATCAATCCTATAAAAGGCTTGATCACAAGGTGATATGAGTCAGAAAACTATTGGAAAACCTTCAAGGGAGTGTAGGACAACCCACTGGGGTTCGAACTCACAGCCTCTCGGTTTCAAGGAGAGTTCATTTGCCATCCAAACAGTCACTGAGACCCAATCCAATGGCCCCATGAATTCCAACTTCTACCGATTCGCGATATGTAGCACAGTCGTCAGCCAATGTCATTGGCGAGTAACTGCTCTCTTACCTGACTTGGGAGAACTCCTCTGGTCTTGACGTTTCCCTAGAACTCCAAGTAACTTCCTGTAAATAGAGCTAGTCACTTGGAAATCCGGCACCGCTAGAGGATAGATATCACAGCCAAATGACTGTGAACCAACCAATCACGTCCTTTTGGACATAAAGTGGCATTTATCATGTAAAAAACGATATTTACAGAAGTAAACAGGGTATACATCTGTAATATGCTGCAAGAACAAGTCTCAGTTTTCCATAGGAGTGGTTTTAGACGTATAACCCATTAATCCGTTTTTTTTCAGATATCCCCAAAATTCTTCAATAGAATTTGCATGAGTACCAGCTATGGGACCGACTTATTCGGATGAACGACTGACTTGATGATGAATATAACCTACTGATAATGATAGTTACATCGCTCAGCATTCCAAATGGATGTTGTCCATTATCTTCGTGGCAAGTTTCATCCCGCCCCCCCCTCGCAAATTAACCGTAAATCTAATCATACTCCTTCATTAACCCTACCCTAACACGCAATCAAAGTGAAACTTACTACGAAGATTATGAACAGCATCTATTTCTAATGTCCAGCGATCTGATTAGTTTAATCCAGGTCATTCGTTTGTGGTATCTATTCTTTTGTCTTGTGGAAAATGCTGAGAAAAAAAAAAAGAAATAATTGGGACTGTGAAGTGAATTTGAATCGAAAAAGAGAAAAATGAAAATACCTTGCCAATACAGCCTCCTAATGACGGCCAACACATCATGAAAATTTAAGGCTTAGCATCTTATTGATTACCTGTTTTTTTTCATCCATTTTTCATTTATAGATGGGATTAATTTCTGTCTAGCTGCACATATGTCTGACTGTTGAATACAACGAAAGTAAATGTTCGAGTGTTGCCTTTTACAGGATTTGATTATGAATTGATTTCAGTTAGAGAAAGCCATTGGAAGTCAGCTAAGAGTACTGGACAGCTGTGTCTAGTAGGAAGTCATGGATAGCTGTGTGTTATCGATGACACTCACTGGCGGGGGCTTTGCATCCTCAAATGGCCGTTGGATTCATTCCTAGTAGGTGATTTGTATATGAGTTCACCGTGTAACCTGAATGTCCTGCGTTCGATCCCTATTGGGTGCATACTGGTGAGGAGTCGTAGACATCTAGGAGAATACACAGAGGAAATGCATTTCTGTAACTTAGAACAATTTTGAGTCGTGTCTCTAGCCTTTACTTCTCAGCATTTTGAGGACCCTAAACAGACAATCTACACCTCTGCAGATTGTTGGCGCAAATCAGTGACTTCATAGACTAATTCCAGGTTTGATTTGACCACCTCTAAGTCTTATCCAACTTAATCTTATATCGGTTAACATAGTGTTTGCGAGGATTATAATGGCCTGAAATCTAATCCTCTCAATCGATACAGATTCATAACCTCATGGATTGATTTTCCCTCCTAACCTTAGTATTGTTCAGCATATTATGCCATGTAACACAGAAGATAGAACGCAGACGCTTCTGGTTAAAAGATATCTAGCCTGTTCAAGTTTACATTTATTATTGCACTTTCTCTATTGCTTGTCATCTTTTTTCATTGATTTTTCTTTTCAGTATCGAAGTCTTATTATCGTGAATAATACAAATGAATATCGTGTCGATGGGATAATCAGTATATCTGATGTACTACGCTTTACGGTATTACAACAATTACGTATGACATCAACACGTTTACAACCACCGTCTGTTGCAGAAGTGGCTGATGAATACGATGAATTGAAACGTAATGGTGGAAGTAAGAAGAAGAAGAAAGGGGAAAAAGATAAATCGGGTGAAAATTTAAAGCCTACTACAAATACTACTACTTCAACAACAACAACAAGTAATCCGCCTGTCAGCAGTAGTAGTGGTTGTTCATCTCAAACAAAAAATAAGAAGAGCAGTAATAAAAAGTCAACGACAACGACGATGGCTACTACTACTACTAATACGATAACAACGATGACACCGACGACAACGGGGACAACGACAAGTCGTAATTCACCAATTACTACAACCATCACAACAGCGACAACAAAAACATCAATCACAATTACAACTGTTCCTGGTGGTGTTACATCAAGTCCAGAACATGTTGCCGGCATACATTCAAGTGTACCGTCTATACATCATGAAAAGAAGAAACATACTGCAAAGGGGACAAAATTGGATAATTCTGTTAAACCACAATCATCTGATACTACTGACAGTCGAATAAACAAATCATCATCAAAACAAAAAGTTGATAATGAGAAGAAAATTGCTCCACCATCAGTGAATATTATTTTAACAACACCACCAACAACGCCGACGACGCATAGTAACAGTACTAATTTATGCCCTAGTGAAAATATTATCTTACCAAAAATTGTATCAGAAGAAATTATTTAATTTAATTCAATTATCTAATTATCAATTAATCAATGAAAAAGGAAATAAATAATAACAGTTAGAAAAATGTACATTTTTCCATTGAACAAATATGTTTGCTCACAATGTCGATAATGCTGACAACTCCTCAGATTTATGTAGAAGAAGACAGAGGAAAGACAATAATAATAATAATCAATATTTTGTAATTATGTAAATATAACAATCATTAATAATAATATCAATAAAAGACAAAAATAAAAGTTACACTTCAAAGAATAACAAGAATAATTAATCTTCTTTTTAACTTGATCAAGTTTATTCGATTCTTCAAAGAGAGATAGATGATGAATCCCCAGAATATTTCGCTTGATTGTTTGTGTGAATTATTATCAATGACGAATGAGGAGTACCAAGAGGTGGAAGTGGCCGTGAGGGGTGGGGGGCGGCGGATTATGCACCTTCTTGCCTTTTGATGACGTATACATATATGCACGCCATGAATGTCTCTCCGTTGTCGTCGTCCCTCGCCCCACTCTGCGCACTACCACCATCACTACCCCGTCTATCCCTATGATCAATGTCGTCGACTTCTACTCATATGTCTTTCACATTTAATGATTGGTTGGGTTTATTCTTTGATCTTTCACCCCACCCAACTGGCACATCGTTGTTTTGCTTTCTATGTGTTCTTATATTGGTTTTCAAATCAAAGCCAACATGAGTACACACATAAATGTATATCAAGACACTTAATACATTATTAAGAAGCCATCTGAAGAAGAAGAGAACTCAAGTTATCATTAAAGTCGGTTTATGAATTGTTCAATTTTGTGGTCTAACGGCTTGACAACAACATTATTTGCCTAACTTGTTTCTTCTGTGTTTCTGCTTTTGTGTACGTGTGTACGTGTGTGTGTATGAGATTGTTATTATTATTATTGTTGTTTTTGTTACTGCTGTTTACTTTAGTGAGATATATTTTTACAAAAATAAAACAAAAAGATTTGAGTAATATTTACCTCTTTTTATTCCTTATTTTTGCATTCTTGATTTTATCCACTCATTATTTATTATTATTCATCATTGAACAGTTCTCCACTACTTCGTTTGTGTGTGTCCATGTTGTATGCGGAATCTAGATGTCCTGAATTTTTGCTAAGCAATCTTTTATTCCCTAACAGCGGATATATAATAAATCCTTGAGTGTACATATATAAGATGACGCTATGGCTTTGTTGTGTGCTCATAATGTATATATATATATATATATATATATATATATATATATATATATATATCACAGCTATGTAACTGATAAATACATTCACAGACAAATATTTATACAGTTTATCCATTTAGTTTGTTTTTGGTATATTTGATTAATTACTATATTTATTTATTTACTTATTTATTAACTATTCTATTTATTAAATAAATTACAAGAGAATGAACCCAATGATAAGAGTGTATTTTGAAGAAAATGCATTCAATGCTTTCATTGATGAAATGCTTGCCAGCCACACATGTGCTCCGAGTTCGTGATACCCTAGACACCGATACTCGTTGATTGATTGATTGACTGACTGACCAGTTTTAGCATAGAACTTTGCACAAAAGCGTAACAGTTCAAGTAATCACACTCTGCATAGCATTCGAGAAAACGCTAATAAGCAAAAATGTTATAGAATAAAAATAGTAACATTGGAAAGCATCAGGAGTTTAATGGATATATGAGATCCATACAGGTGATAAGATTTGCTCCAGTCATTGAGAATGATTTTGAGCCATATCACCAATTGTTTTCAGTCTTCATTGGTTCTTAGAATCCTGAAGACTCCAGTCGACAACTCCCCATGTAACTGACTTAAAATAACTATTAAAAATTTCAGGGTATGATAACAAGTTTTGGCTTGGTTATCACTAGCTCTTTTTCAACCTAATCTATCCTATATCAGGGAACATATCCTATCGAGTAAGGTGATGGCTAGACATGCGTAAAACATATCCTAACCGTTTTAGTCGATGTAGCTTCGCAATCTCATCAATTAACATTCCCTCTAACAAGTGCGACCTGTAAACTTTACACACTCCAGCGATACTGTATTATTCGTGATTGCTGCTTTCCACATTTTATTTGTTACTCGTGAGCTTAGTGAAACGTAGGGCTTCAAGATTTGAAGTTTCAGTAACAGTGGAGTGTTCTTTCTTGGCGTCAGGTTGCTAGCTTGACACACTTCACCTTCCCTCCTTATTGATATTTCTTACCGGATAAGCGAAGTTGAAGATTGCATCGGACTAGGGCTAGACCACTTGCCTAGTTGGCGAGCCTTCTGTAATTGAACCATCGATGCATCGTGAATAATTTTGTAGCTATTATTGACTCTTTTTTAGCCTTTATCTGTTCCCTTCACGTTTGACTACAATTTGTCATGTAAAGTTTTGCCTAGATAACTTAGAAATACCTAGAAATAAGGCTGATATATATTTTTCAAATTGCATAGATTTCTATTCATTGTCACCTTTTACTTGTTGATTATTATTTTCCAGTAATCGAACAGCTGAGCTAACCAAATGACTTGACTGCTAACTAGGTCATCATATCACTACAATCAACACAGATAATGTCCAGCCGTTATATGAATCAACGAATGAATGAACGAAACATAACTCTCTGTTTATCATCGTACTACATACTCCATCAAGTCTTCTAATAGTTTTAATCATAGCCTGGTCAGTATTTATCCGTTGTAGCTCTGTTGAAAGAACACCGGACTGACAGTTCCAGGGTGAGACACTCTGGTTCGAATTCTGCCATGACCCAGATTATTAAATAATTAGAAGCAATTCACAGGATACCCCTGCGTGACTTAGATTTTGTGCTTATTGACACTCAACAGTCAGAAAATGTGTGGCTGTACCCATGAAGAAAATCATATTCCCATTGAGTATCGAACCCATGTACCAAACTATGACGTACCAGTTGTCCAGTATTCCTTGTAAGTTTTCCAATGCTTCTCTAAATAGTGTCAAACTCGTAGTCAAACCTGTTATTCTGTTCCTGTATATCTTTTCAAATGCCTATGACTACTTATATTTGTTTTCCCTAATTACTTGTTTCTTTTGTTACCTCTTATCATTGTGAAATAGTGTCTATTCAACTAGAAATGACTGGGAACAGTTATTTATTTACATCATACAAAACAGAATAACATTTTGCTGATGATAAAAATGGAAAGTAATTTGCGTAGAAATGGAAATTCCGGTGTTTTGGTCGTCTGTGTGTTTGTTTGTTTGCCTATTCTGGTCGTATATAGGTGTATGGAATGCCGAAAGAAAGGAAGCGTATCACCAAAAATTCCATACATTTCTCTTTGTCTATGTGTGTGTGTGTGTGCGTGCGTGCGTGAGTTAGCCAACAACAATGACCTCTAATCCATTATACAGGCAGATGAAACCAGTTCATACAATAGGGAAACACGAATATAGTTTTATATATATATATATATATATATATATATATATATATATATATATATATATATATATATATATATATATATATATAGGAAGAGAGAGACAGCCAAGATGATGTACTTAACATTGAGGTTACATATAAAAATATATATAGGAAGTTTTCAAGAGTTATTGTGTAAGAATTAGATTTGTTTTTTTCAAGTTTGACCACTGGTTGTTATCAGTTAGAGAACCATTGAAAACCATTTGCGAGTATTGAACAGCCAGCTGTTTCCCCAGTCTAGTTTGGGATTCATCATCAGTATGCACCCACTACCAGGGTTCGAACCCATCATCGTGCGGTTTCAAAGCAAACTGGCTCTTATACCATTCACCTACTAGAATCCGATTCAGTGGCCAGCCCATGAATTCTAACTTCTACCAATTTGTTATTTTGTGGTGAGAGCAGGCTGCTAGCCGATTGGTTGACACTAATCTACGTTAATGTCTAGGTCACTAATATGGGCCGTGAGAAAGTATGAACAAGGCTGATTCAACAACCAATCACAGCAAAGTTGACGTGGCAAAATATGATTCGCAGATAGAGAACTCTATTTGTCAAGTAATCCCGAAACAACCAATCAGAAGCCTGCGTTTGTCTGCAACCAATCAGATGACTGCGCCTTTTCTACTTGCATAAGCTATAATAATGTATGTGAAATATATATAAATACGTGTTGATTTTCATAGTAGAAAGATCTGTTGCCTGGCCCTTGTCTTCTGTTGTTACAATTTTAGCGCTACTACTAACCAATGTTATCGGCGGGAAATCCATCCTTACTGCCTACTAGATGGACATCACTGGTCACGACGTCTCACTAGAAATCCAGGAAACTACTTCTTGTATCAGTTCAGTAGACAGCATCAGATTGATTTTCAAGAGTTTTTGTGTAATTATTAGGTTTGTTTTCCGAGTTTGACAACGGATTGATATTAAGAATTTGAATAGAATGATGACTGTATAACAAGATTTGGGGAAATATGGAAAGTATATCAAGCTGGTTACTGAAATCCACGAGCAACTTAACAAAATAACTAAAGTTACTAAACCAAATTCAGATCACAGCATATGATCTGCTTGATACCATAAATGGTAATCAAGTAACCAAACATATTTGCATAAAGTTATACATACTACTGATTGTTTCAGATGAGTAGTTCCACACCGCTCATATCAATCATCAGTGCTTGCTGATAAGGTCATAATGACCTAAACACTAGACGACCATTCTACTCGTTTGCAGTGGAGCTTCTCAGTAACAGGGTCGGTTTGATTCAATCTCAGAGAGCTAAAAATTAGTTCGAACCATTCGATTTCTAGGTAGATACTTTGGGGAATTGGCGTTTAGATCCCTTCGATCTGGCTAGCACTATTGATTGATATGAGTGGTTTTATTATTATATTGTTATTATTATTATTATTCCCTTGGGTTCCGAGTGGAACATAGGGCTTCAATAACACATCTCCTCTTTCTTCTATTTTCCGCTGTCCTCTCCATCTGGCT